CAATATCCTTTATTGTTAATTTTTAGAGGGCTGTTGCTTTTTAAATGTGTAAGTTAGCCATGCACCTGTGGCTGATTCCTCTAATTCTAGCTGTTCAGGAGGCAGAAATCTGAAGATCTTGGTTCAAAAGGCCAGCTTCAGCAGACAGTCTGTAAGACTCTTATCTTCAATTAACTATCCAAAGAAGCCAAAAGTGGAGGCTAACGGACAACGCCCAGGCCATGAGTTCAAGCCCCAGTTTTTGTTTTTTGTTTTTAATGAATGAGTAAGTGGTGGGACGGGCTCTGGACGCCTCTGGCCTCCAGGTCAGCACAGTGTGCAGACCCCTGCTTCGCTGTCACCTGGGGCAGATCTGTCTGTGACTCACTGCAGAGCTGCTGCAGGCCTGTTTTGGTGTTGCAAACCAAAAAGGCCTTCATGCCCCTCCCAGAGATGGCAGTGGCAGAGAAATCAGCTTCAGGGCAGGGGCGGGGCGGGGAGGGGGAAAGCCAGAGACTTGCAGGGAAGCAGCAGTTGGGGGAGGAGGGTCCCAAGGAGAGCTAAGTGGCGATTACGATATCTCTCCTGCAGAACAAACTCTCCTGTGACTAGGACAGATGACATTGTTCTACGTGTTCTTTATCAGGTTCAAATATTAGCCCAGCTGGGTCAAAGCAGGATTTCAAAAGTGATAAATATTTTCCAGGCCCTTTTGACATGTTTTATAACTGTGTGGGAGGGGGTAAGAAAATAAATCATTACTTCTTTCAACAAACCATTGCTGGGCATCAGTGAGGGCTTAGGGATAGATCAGCTAAGAAGATGTAGCGCTGTGAAGTTAAATGCTGCCTCTTAATGCCTTCCCCCATCACGTGTACACCAGGGCTGCCTTTGAGGCTCACCAGGAGCCAGCACTTCCGGCCTCCTGTGCCATCTGCAGCAACTTCCGGTGGGTGGCTTGGACTCAGGGTGCGGATTTATCCCATGTGGCTGGGGGGGGGGGGGGGGCTTCTAGCCCCTGGCTAGCCATACTGCTCCTGCAGGGCCATGTGAGGGAGGGGCTCTTCCCCACTTCCACCTACCCCCAGCCAAGTCACAACTCCCTTATTTCATGGCTTCTGTGGGCTTTGCTTACTTTACCTCTCAATAGCTATTTCCAGACCACAGACAGTAGAAAGAACTTCGTGAAACACATAAAAGCTAATACACAGACAGAAGATTTGTGCAAAACTAGATTTCTGTGTAAAAAGGCCTTTCTTTCTTAGATTTTAAAGCAATGGCATTATTAATGAACAGCAACAATGTAAAACTACACCTATCATCCAGCCAAGATGAATTATTTCAACGTCTGGATTAAAGACTATGTTTAAATCGATTTCTTCCAAGCTTTCTAAGCAAATTCAATGCATTTGATAAGAACATTTCCAAATACTAAATAGTAGCCCACTGCATTTAAGAGCTTTGGTTTTTTTTTAAGAAATATTTCCTTTCTTATTGCAGAAACAAATATAAGGTATTGATTTCAATCTGAAAATTTAATATCTAGAATGTTCCGGATCTAAAAGTGTTTGAGGCAGAACCTGATGTGACACGTGGAAACTCACAAGTGATGAGTCACAGTCAAAATGCAGATGCAGAAAGCTATGAAAGTTATTCAGGTTCTGTGGCTACAGTCTAAATGAAACATAACTGAATTTCATGTTTGGACTTGAGGTCCAGCCCCAAGATCTATCGTTCTATGTGTGCAAATAGGCCAAAAGTCTCGAAAGAAATACGACATGCAAAAACCTCTTCTGGAAAGGAAGAGGACCCAAATACGAGCATTTGGATAAAGGATTCTGAATTGTTTAGGACCAGCTTGCCTCTCCAGAGCAGCAATAACAAAAAGGTCTGAGAGCAGCAGACACTAGTGTTACAAAGCTCCAATTTTAGAGGCCTGGTGGCCTTTCCCAGCAAATTTGTAAGTCATTACTCCCTGACAAGTAATCCCACAGCGGATCACAGGGCCGCCCTGGCAGCTACCCCCTGCTTTTGTACCACCGCCACCCCAGCCCTCACACACTGAACCCTCACCAGGAACTCTCCCACATTGTCATTTTAAATTATAGCCCTGATGATCAGACTACTCCTGATTTGCTTAGTGCTTTTCCCTATAGTGTCTCTCCCCATGACTAAATGGACATAATTATCCACCGTCCAAGTGCTTTCAGGGCCAGTATATGCCCATCTCTCTTTGTGACCATTAGATAGGTCTGGTCCCACCCACCCAGCCATCTATCTGGCTCCCAGGGCTCCTCAGCAGGCTGGCAGGGCTGATGCTCCAAGATGAGGTAGGAAAAGAGTCAGGGCTAGCCCGTGGATGAGGTCTAATAATCTCCCAGAGTTCTTCATCTCCTCTGCCTTCTAGCTGGGGTGTGGTTATTGGACACCCCACCCCCCACCCCAGCACACACCGCTTCCTGCTTGGGTCTCTGTTGTCCTGAGCCTGTTTCAGAATGGCTTCCTTGCCCTCTCCTCCCAAATCTTGACCTTGGAAATGGCATGGAATATTCAGATGTCCTTACTAAGCAGGTTCATGACTGGGCAAAGGCCAGCACCCGTGGGGAGGGCCTCTACTGGCCTGCCCCTGATCACAGGCAGTCTATCCCCTTTGGTGAATTCTACACGAGCTTTGGAGCTGGCCCCGAGTGAGCAGCAGGAGACAATGGGGCCGTAGGCACACACTCCTGTATGTGATAAGGTCCCTGTCCTGGTGGTTCCACTGATTTTTTTTAAAGACCAACTCAGATTTAGCTGTCCAGAAATTATAGAGCAATCCAGGATGCCAGATTCCACACAGGGACTCAAGTAACATAATAAGCCTTGGTGTGGGATTCAATCAAGACCTGCTGCCACAGAGTTCTCAGAACAAGTTTTGTCAGCAGATTCAGGACTTATTATAGTGATTGCTCTTTTACACATGACACCAAAGGCCTTGTTCAAAGGCATTTATAGTCTCCAGAGTAGCAAAAGCAAGCTTCGCTCTCATTTGTAAATATTTTATTTCTAGTCTAGCTCTAAACAACCTTCCCCACTCCCTGACATGATCTAGGATGCCCTTTTTCTGCACAGATAGAAGAAAAAAATACAGGAGGCAAAGGATAAAACCCCTAACTATTAGCTGAAAGTTATCTCATCAAAATTAAAAATGAGAGCTAGGTATGAGGCTCAAGTGACAGAGCACTTAAGTGTGAGGCTCTGAGTTCAAACCCCAGTACAACCAAATATACAAACTATCAATAAACCGAAAAACAAGCAAAGTAATTTAAATGGGAGGCAGAAATATGTTACCTCAAAAAAAAAGCAAGGATTTTCTCACCTTCCAGCAAACATACAGTCCTTGGTTATTATTATTACTATGTGTATAATTCACACTTATGTATGTGTATAGATACATGCATACATACACACATCTATTCTCCTTTTTATCTGGTTATCCCTTTTATTTATTTTTTTATTTTTTGGGTCCAGTCATGGGGCCTGAACTCTGGGGCTGGGCGCTGTCCCTCAGCTCTTCAGCTCAAGACTAGCGCTCTACCACTTGAGCCACAGCGCCACTTCCGGCTTTTTTCTTTTTGCTTATCTGGTGCTGAGGAATTGAACCCAGGGCCTCATGCACGTAAGGCAAGCACTCTACCACTGAGCCACCTTCCCAGCCCCTCTGGTTATCCTTTTTAATTAGTAATATATCCTTAACAAACTATGCCTGGTTAAGTTTGCATCACAGATTGAGAGTTCAAAATATCTGTTATCAACAATCCATTACTATTTAATTTTACTTTGATAGTGCTGTATTTTATTAAATCAACCCTGATTACATTTCTGCCAACCTCACTTCCTCTTATCCTACAGGGATCAGGCCTTAGTCACAAAAGTTTGGAAAGAGACATCAGATGTTCAGAGAATACACACAAGACCCATGTATCAACCTATCTTGTCAAAACCCAAACTGACATTTAAATTTCTCTGAAAATGTTTTCCTAACTAGTTCATTAATCCTTATACCTCTCCAGGCACTTTTATAAAGGTCATCTTCAAGTACCTGGTTTGATGTCTTATTTTATGTATAAAGTCGTTTCCTAGTTCAGTTAAATGTCAACTTAAAGTCTCTTCGTTTACTGGAAAGGAATTTGGGAGGGAATGAAAAGCAGAACAGTGCAGAGAAAGGTGGTCTGCCCAGGGGTCGCCTCATCCACAGCTTTGGAGCTCTTGTTCTGAAAAGTTAGTTACATTTTCTTTGGTAATGAAATTGTCAGTGTTTGTCTTTCTTTAGTAGTTTTTGCTCTACATTTTCATAACCAAATCTCAGTGACCCCAATTCTAGTGATTCGATACAAGTCTTAACAGCAAAGGAGCGGGCGAAGGGACTTTCAATATGGACACAGTTGTGCTCAGATTAGCAAGAATTAATTGCCGGTGCCTGGTGTCTTTGCAACTCCCCTCCCCCTTCTTAGAATTAGATAAAAATAAAAAACACTGAGACAATTAAGCTGCTGCAAGGGGGTGAGGAGGAAGGTGCAACCGATCACACTCTCAAAGACAAGAACCATGTTTTTTTTAAAAAAGTTATAGAATATCAAAATAGGTATGTTGGCCCAATATTTAAGCTTTGGAACTGCTTGCTTAGCAGGTCTTTAAAATGCAAATAGTTAAAGAACTTCGCGAACTTAGAGTTCAACAAGATTTTATCATCTCAAGTTAAAAGAAAAACATCAAAAATTCAAGTAGACTTCACATTCTGTATAGAAAATAACAAAGGACTTTAGGTCATCATTGTTTACATATGTTTCTAAGAGTTTTTCAGTTATTTGTTTCTCTCTGGTTAGTTCAATTTTCTGGAATTAAGGAATGGCATTTTTTCTTTAAAAAAACTTTTTACTTAACCTATACTTCAAATTAATCACAATATTTTTAAGAAGACAATTAGCAAATAAAACTGACTCTAAACAAAGTATACATCATAATTTATGTATCATAATTACCTTCTGCCTGGTCCGAAGTCCTCCCCTTCAGGCATTTCTGCCCTTTAAAGATCTGGCCACACAGCTACGGTCAAACAATAGCGTCTTTTCCACAATAACACAGAATATTATGAGGAAAAACCCGAGGAGTGAAAGTCTGTCCTTTTGGGAGAAAGGTGCTCCTCCCTTACTCAGAAAGTTGGTGTTTACAAACTTCCAAAGTGCCTGCCACCTGCCGTGAATGAAGCTCAGGGCTGGGTTATTATGACAGCCCCCTTCTAAAAATAAAGAGGTCACCTCTCACTCCCAGCACCGTGACAGCAGCTGGAGCCAGTGTTTTCCCGCAGTCGTGTGAGCCGTGTCACCACCCTCGTGGAATGACTTCACCGTGCAGGCCTGCCCTCTCTTTCCTTTTTTTTTCCTGGCATGATCAGGCACCCTCCGAAAGGTGGAGTGGAGTGACTGTGAGCAGGCTGAAACTTCACCCCAGGCAGTCAGATCTCCAGTCACAGGAGGCGGGCTGGAGAGCAGAGAGCAAGACAAGACAGACTGTCCCTTCAAGGGCTGGGAGGCTTGTTTGCAGAAGGCCTGGCCATTCAGCAAAAGCGCCCTCACTCACAGAGGAAAAACACAACAGTCTGCGAGGCAATCGGATTCTGAGAGATCTCTGAGTCATTTAGATCTCCGAGTTATTTAGATTTCTGAGTCATTTAGATTTCTCGACTCAGTGGAAGCATGTACATGTATCTGAGTGGGTGCCCTTGTGGGCAAAGGGCTTTCTCCCCGAGTGTTATTGGTTCATGGCTGGGCTTTGGGGCTGAGTGTTTTAACACCTTAGCTCTTTGCTGTATAGTTTTCCATAGCTGATTCTCCCCTGCACTGACGTGTGTGTGTGTGTGTGTGTGTGTGTGTGTGTGTATGTGTGTGTGTACACTAAGGATTGAACTTGGTATCCAGCTTTTTGCTGGTTAATTGAAGATACGTGACACAAACATTCCTGCTGGGCTGGCTTCAAACCCCAATCCTCAGATCTCAGTCTCCTGAGAAGCTAGTGGTTACAGGCCACTGGTACCTGTCTATTTCATTCTACAACATGGCCATTAACAATGTTGAAATATATATGGTATGAATAAATAAATATATAATATCTAATATTATATAATAAACATATATACATATATGTATATCACATTGTGGATTTCTATCAGACAGCTCAGGTTAAGAGCTTTAATTCTCTGCCCAAAGTGTCTGAATTAGACATAAGACAGAAATACCAGCGAGTGCTAACTGGTGGATACAATCTTAATTGTTTTGGAACATTTCCAGAACAGTGTTGAAGCATAAAGCACAGAGAAAGCATCAGCAGAGTGGGACAGTTGCTGCCTCAAAATCTTAACTCGAGAGAATGTGACTTCCTCTTCCCTCCCTGCCGACGTCCCACCCAAGCCTCCTGATAGAGCTGGTGCAGAACCTGTGTCCCGGGACAGTTCAGAGTCCATGTTATGTTCTTCACAACAGTGGAAGGAGGGTACAGTGCTAGAAGCAAGCCCATATCAAAGAATGCAAAGGTATGCAGAGTTTTGCATACTCAAATTTGCATACCCATATGGTATAAATGTCAGCATGCAATACTGCTGATCTGATGAATAATGACTTTATAAGCCGTGCTGCTTCAGGAGAGATGGTTCCTCAGGCTTGCTTTAAGGTTGGCATCAAGCTGAGACATGCCCTAGATTGTGACTTTTAAAGCACTCTCAATGCAATTGTAATACCAAACCTAAAACACAGAAGACAAAACAACAGTCAAACCAAGAGGAGCTCACTGGTCTTGGATGGGGGCAGGGAGCTGAAACATGGCCTCACAGTCCCCCAAGGGCAAACTGACATGGGTCCTTGGGAAAGCACTTACAAGACAGGTGGCCAACGGTGGCTAGCTCACCTGCACAGCCAAGCAAAAGGAAAAAGTAGGAACGCCTTCTCTCCCTCTCTTCTCGTAACAATTAGATTGACCCAGTTATACGCTGTACCTTTGTACTTGTTTTAGGTAAAGTGTAGCACATGGAGTGTTTTCTCCAAAATTCTTTTCATCTTCAGATAGCTGCAACTCTAAAAGCAACACACTGAGCTTCTGAGGCTTTCCCTCCTCTGCGCTCTGCCAACCTTCTCTATCTTTTTTTCTAGAAATATCTCTGCTGTGGTTTGGATGGGTCTCCCTAGTTCTTGTGTCAGAATCTTAGACTGCTGAGAATGGTGGGCAGCAGCAGGTCCTTCTGGTGGGTGACTGGGTCATGAGGACGGAACCCTCATAAATGGATTAATCTCTTTACTCTCGGGGTGGGGGTGCTAGGGAATGGGAGAGGGCCCCTCCGGCCTTCTCTTTTGCAAATACTTGCCATATTATGACACAGGGCGAAGGCTCTCGCCAGCCCCCACGCCCCCTGTCTCCCTCACCCCTCCCAGCCTCCACGTCACTTCTTTCCTTGGTAAGTTACTCAGTCCTGCTGGAACAACCACATTTGCTGTAAGGCCACTGTGTGTGGCTGGCCATGAGTGGCTCTCGGACCTTTGCTTTCCAGTTCCAGCCACACCTATAGCTCACTGTTATCCCAAAGATCAGGTGGAGTAAAGCTAGGTGGAGACGGTGTTCTGCACAGGGTACAGTGGGCACCCAAGGGGCGCTGGAGGAGCCAGCCAGCCCGGTGGGGAAGAAAAGGCCAGTGGTGGAGGAAGATGAGCAGGAATAAGGTGTGAGGACAGGAAGACAGCAGAAGTCAGAAAAAGGTGGGAAGGGGAAGGATGGCAGAGGGGCTGACGGAAGTTTCAAGAAGCCTCACAACCTGGGAAGATTCCATCATATCCAGTTTGCTGTTCTCACCTCAACCTTCATAACACTATGTCCTGATTTTCTGATCAAATGTGTTTCTCAAAAACTGCCCATGATGCCAGACGCTGGTGGCTCATGCCTGTAATCCTAGCTACTCAGGAGGATGAGATCTGAGCATCTCGGTTCAAAGCCAGCCCAGGCAGGAAACTCCGTGAGACTCTTATCTCCAATGAACCACCAGAAAACCGGAAGTGGCACTATGGCTCAAGTGGTAGAGCGCTTGCCTTGAGCTAAAGAGCTGAGGGACAGTACCCAGGCCCCGAGTTCAAGTCCCATGACTGACAAAAAAAACTCCAAACTGCCCATGACACTTGCTAAATTTTGTGTTGTGGTAGATTTAGGAGTTGATGACTGAGTGAATAGGTGAAGTCAAGTTCAAGGATTGCCATCCACCATTTGTCCTTCCCTCATGCAGTGGCTCTGCTCCAGGAAGGGTGACAGGCGAGAAGGGCAGGAAGTGGTCAGAAATTCCGAGGACAGAAGTAGCCCCAGGAAACGTGGTAAGGAAGAGGAAGCAGGCTGGCAACAGCTCAGGGAAGTGGGAGAGAGCATGCAGGTGCTCAGGCCTGGGGAGGCAGATTACCCTGACACACTGGCCTGCTTTCTGCTGGGTCGATGGCCGTTATAGACCCATTTCATGGTACCAAGCTAGCTCTAGATATTCAGCTGGGACTCCCTCCCAAAGAGACTGCTGGTCACCGGAGACTGATTCCCTTTCTACTCCATTCTTGTTCCTCTTTTAACATCCTGTCCTTCCCCTAGCTGCATACCCTCAATCCTTACTCTAAAACAAACCAGCCAACCCTGTAGCATAACTCGCACAGACATCTACACACCTAGGCCTCTGCAGGGTCTGATTCCGTAGGGGGCCAATATAACCAGCTGGGCCACTTGTTCCTGAAAACTGCCCCTGCCTGCTTTCTTACTGAAAGCTCTTTCCTAAGACTCTGTGTGTTTGAGGGTTGCAGTTCCTTCACAGAGAATTTCTGGTTCCAAGAACTTTAGAACAAACAGCTACAGCAATGAAAAGGGCTTGGGCAAGTCTCAGTGTTTTAGCCAGCACAAGGAAATGGAAATGTTCCAAGCCTGCAAGTGGTGGAGACAGAGGTCTTTGTGGACACTGAAGACAGGAGTGACTCAAGGTTGGTACAAACAAGACTTATCTCCTGAGTTTAAAAACATAATGTAACACAGGAGCAATTACATATAACTGTTATTGAACGACGGGCTGTGTAATCCTTTGCTTGCTTGCTTGCTAATCTTCCTTATTGCCTTTTGCTTACGTTAGGGCTAAGATGCTTCCATTCTTGAATGAAGGATGAGAGGCTTCTTGTCTACAGACTTACCCTGTGCTCTGGGGCAGAGTCAGGCTGAAATAGAGGCTATTTAGCTCAACAACTCAAACCGTTCATTATTAGTTCTGAATCTGTCTGGGTCAGATGATGGAAAGCCTCAGCCACCAAGTCCCCCTTTTGTCATATGCTACTTGGCAACCTGGTGGCCTGGGCTGGAGGAGCTCCATCTGCTGACCCAGCCCTGGCACAGGATGAGATGTCTTCAGACACTGAAAACACTTTTCCTCCAGGCCCTGGCCTTAACTGTGCTGCTGGCCAATGTGCTCCAGTCTAGGCAAGTTCAGAGAGGAAGAAGCCCTCATGTGCTGGGTACCAGACCGACCCAGGCAAGTGGGGAAAAGAAGACGTGTGTGTGTGTGTGTGTGTGTGTGTGTGTGTGTGTGTGTGTGTGTGTGTGTGTGTGTGTGTGTGTGTGTGTGTGTGTGTGTGTGTGTGTGTGTGTGTGTGTGTGTGTGTGTGTGTCTTTTAGCTTTTTTTTACTCAAGGCTAGCACTCATCACTTGAGCTACACCTCCAATTTTGGCTTTTTGATGGTTAACTGGAAATAAAGAATTTCACAAACTTTCCTTCCCCAGCTGGCTCTGAGCCTGGGTCCTCAGGTATCAGCCTACTGAGTAGCTTGGATTCCAGGCATGAGCCGCCAGTGCCGGGCAAGGTCTTTAACTTAACAGACCCCAGAACTGCTTCTCACACGACTGAGTTGTCACCCAACAGGCTCTTAACCAGCAGGCTCTTCGCCCCTGATTGCCTCCAATGTTGTGTGGTGATAAACGCGGCTTCCTGGAAACATGGCTTATCACCTTCAGGCTACTTCAGGACCCCAAACAACACAGTAACCTGCAAGTTTCCCATAAATGAGTTCATTTTTATCATGCAATAAGCAAAACCCTTTTGCCTTAGTCCATTGTATGCTATAAAAATAGAATATCCAAAGAAGGGTAATTTATAACCAATATTCAATTATTTCTTACACCTGTGGGGGCTGGGAAGCCCTAAGTCAAGGGACCCACATCTGACAAGGCCTTCTTGCTGATCACCCAGCATGGGAAGAGGACAGTAAGAAAGTGAGGAAAGGAGCCACGTCACCTTGGATGAGGAACCCATTCTCACAGTTCATAAGTGTGAGGCCCAGCATTAATCC